CTTGTATTCTATATGTTTGCAGCATAGATGGAAAAAGTATGGTAAAAGACCCCTTCATAATAATTATATAGTTTGATCAGAATGGAATTTATGGATATTGTAGTAATTTTAATAGTGGGATTCATGAGTCGATGAAACGGCCGTCCAGTGCTTCCAGGTTTTCTGTGGTGGTCTAGCTTACATCAACTCATGAATTGAACTAGTAAAAATTATACATTTAACAAGTGTTCAAGTAAGGCTTAATACAGTTTAGTGAGTTTCATATCATCAACATAAATTATGTATATCATTCAACAATGAAACAGTTCAATAGAATAAAAACACTTTTAATATTTTACTAGGTTCATTGATAATTGTTAGCATTCTACACATATGGAATAAAAACCGTATAACATGCTGGATCCATGAGTTAACAATGTATTGGTAGTACTGTTACTTTTCGCTAAAATGTATTTCAATAAAGTTAAATCCCATATTCGTTATAGGCTTGTGAAAGTTATCAAGAAAATTGACTAACGTTTTAAATAACCCAAATAATAACTGAATTTAACTTAAGAAATATGAATTTGGATTATTCAGTTGGTTAGAACATAGCAACGGTCTATACAATGAGTATTGATTATTTCCTAGAACAATTGAAAAATATTTAGTCGTTCAAATAGCTTTACAATAATGAAACAGTCACGGAACTGTTCGACTATTTGTTCTACAAAAGCAGTTACAAGGAAAACTGAAAGTTTCTAATCGGCTTCACATTAGTTATTGTCATCTTAGAGTAATAGTGATAAGTAACTCAGTCATATACAAAACGAAACATGAAGCAAATGTATGTCGTCATCATCAGCAGAACCAGATGAAATTATCAAGACAAATGTCAGAAAAGTAGTAGAAGCAACAGAATCAGCAGTAATAGAGACGATTAAACATAAGAGAAAGTATCAGACTCCGAAGCTCGGTATCTGAGGGCAGACAAAATTATTTCGAGCAATATCACCCAGTCTCTAACAATTAGTTACGATAATCGGACACGAATAAGATAATCTACCCATTTTACATGGCTTAGTCCGACCGTCAAAGAATTCATGAACTTAGTTCGGACGTACTACGTTTTCTCCCAAATAATCACTAAATGAGTAATTCATTTCATGTTACTTTTGGGAATTTTTAGTTTTTATTAGATATTTATTTGGCAAAGTTTATAAATATACGATAAAAAGTTAATTAATACAAAAATATTTCTAACACTACACGAATATTGAAAGAAGATAAATAGATTCTAGAATATGACGGCTCTTTTACCAGATAATCAGTTTGGTTTGCAAATTTCCGCAATATCTGTCGCATGGCAGAACACGGTATTAAAGAGACTATATATATACATATACATTATTTAGTATACTGAATATTAGGTTAAAAATTTATATCACTTAATTTAAATTTCCGATGTAGTAGTAGCAGTACTATATGAAAATAATTCCCAATTTGCTTATGCATAGGGGGATCATGCAAAACATGAATACTGTAATTTCATATTTACTGATTTATCCAGTTGTTAATTAATGTACATCTAACATTAGGATAGTGTCATCGACATTTACGAGTATACAGAATCCGACCACATCAGCAGCGAGACTGGTAAATAATATCTAACAGTCCCTTGATTTGCATTATTTTCTTATGTAATAGTTTCATTTATACATACATTTTACATGTTATTTCTCATGTGACGAAATCTTAGAATTTATCAAATTTGAGTCGCGTGCTAAGTGAACTCTTCAATCAACAATTGTAAACAGTGTAACATGCATGACTTTTTTTGGTTAAAAACGTTTCAATTGGTTTTATTAGGCCCTCGTAAATAATAAAAATGCTAATCTAAACATGTTATTTCTACTATTATTATGTCTAATGTTTTAGAAGACAATCAATAATTTACAAATAATCCGAGAAAACTACACTTGACTGTGCAAGATGGTCAAAGTTTATTGGATGATATTAACTCAATTACGCTGTCTTATTTAACACGTACGTTGGTTTCGGGATACTCAACGAATTTCGGTGGGCATGCATTATCACGTAGATGGATTATAATGAAAGCAAGTTCCTCCCAAGCTTTCCTTCAAATAGTCTACGAGGGCGGTCAAAATGTGTATATAATTAATATTGATAATCTTCGTAACTCTAATTCCTTCCATCATCAATGTCGATTCCTTCATACCGCAGTGTTACATTTCAATACATGTGTGGATGTAAGCGATTGATGAGAAAACATGATATTGAATGAATTAATATTATTTTTTCAATTGATCTGGCTTCATTCAAAAGACTAATATGTAGTTAGCGAAGAAATAATTCTCAAATTTCAAAAAATAATATTAACCCATTAACATGGTCTCTTGCAGTGCACTGATAGACAGACCATAGGTCAGTATCTTGGAGCTGAAACCAAAATTATCATCTGCTATAAGTATCACCAATTAATCTGTTTGTAGTAAAAACTCGATGAAAGCAATCAGATAAGTGACTAGTGAACAAGCATTTTCAGATTGTTAAAAAAAACAAGACACTTTTGTGTGGATAGCAATTTTGAATCTCAAGTCAGGTTTTACAAGTATTAAATCTACGATTTAATCGAATCGCCTTAATCGATTAATAATTTATGCATTTCGGTTATTAAGAAATCAGAACTGTGAGTGACATCTTACAAGACTTAAGACCTCTGACTTAAAAGCCTGTCAGGAATTATATGACAAGCAATAAAGAATGTTAAGTTTAATTCTCAAATCTTATCATAAAATAAAGCACAATGCACGTGAAAAGTGGAAATTCATCTCATTAGTCACGTGATTTAACTAAAGATATTAACTGAGTAGATTTACTCATTGAGAACAGGCCTAACGAAGTTAAATTTCACAAAAACTGAAACTTCTTTTGTGTGCTTAACTTCTCAGACAAACCGATCTTGACTTTTTTCGACTAAGCCCTCTTGGAAGGATAGAAGATATATTTGACAACTCAATCGTATCGATTGGAGTACAAAATCCAGGCACTAAAAGGAAATCCCATGTGTAATCTAGAGTAGGAGAGAAACAAAATAATGTTTTGATGGAAGACCTAGGTAGTTGGGGTAGAAAGAAATACTTATTTATCTTAGAAAAGTGAGTTGTACAGTAACTGATTCTTGCAAAGCAGAACAAGGTAACTCTATTTTCCAGTAACAATGTTTGAGACAAATAACCTGTAACACTAACTACTTTTAGCGGGAATACAAATAACCTTTCCTTTTTTGAGTCAGAGATTTTTCTCATTTGTGCAGACGCTCTCGTAGTCGATCATTATCAATTATACGAGAACAGCACACGAGTGAACTCGAGGAAGCTCAGAAAGAGCCGAAGATACTCCATCCAATCATCTTTTGGAAGAATATTCCAGAATTTCTGCGCGTAGCCTTCCTAATGGACAAACGCTAAAATCCCCTGCATGTGGACTGAATGACTATAATGATGATTTCGTTTTTACTGAAAACTATAAATACCTGAGTTTAATATATTTGACAGTTTGGAACAGCATTCCTTTCACTTGTCTTCTGTCTTGGAGTGCTCAAGTTGTACGCCATATATTAAGAATCTGAGCTCTAGATACAACAGTAGTGTTTAGGAGCGACTTTATTATCTGATAATGAAGTGTGCTATGTAGAATATTAAATGAGCTGTTTGATTTAACTAATTATGGATCAGAAGTGGGGGTTTAATAAATTTCTTTTGCCGAAAAGACCCATGTAACCACCTCAACCAAGGGATTAAAATCTTTAAAACAAAGCAAGAATGTAATTAATTTTTATTTAGATTTGACTATCAAAATTTATTAAACGAAAACTGTGTTATGAAAAAAGTTAAGAATAATAATTATAGTAGCACTAGTATTTGTAATAGTGTTATTAAAAAGAATTATAAACTTAATATTTACATGTTATGTTTGTCTTTTTTTCAATTAACTGACTAATTCATTTTTCCTTGCTGGTATTGAAGATATCATCATCATCAATATGAGTGGAAAACAATCGTAAAAACACAGATGAGATGACGTGGAAAATATGCCGAAGCCAGATAACATTAGAAAAAAAAAGAATGATCGCAAAATCTGCCTACATATTCCATGGTCCAAACAATAATAATAAATAGGAATTATTTATGAAAAGTGTACCATGTACCTACTTTGTCCTCTTCTTCAGCCCAAAACAAAGGACTATTTCAAAGGATAACAGATAATCACTCGTTATTCAATTAGAACCAGTTAGTAATGAAGAGGAAGGTGAAATGGTCGAATAGAAGAAAACTATATATATATATATATATATATATATATATATATATATATATATATATAACGGCGCTATGGATGGCGGGGAAAATTACGTAGAAAGAATGAGCACTACATTAAAAATAATTTTAAAAAGATAATGTACCTGCCTGTAGATGAATAAGAAGTTTAATTATCCTTTTGATAGAATAAATGCATGATGACAAAAGTCATACACGTAAATAATATGTTGCCTAAATTTCACAATATACCGATTATATATATATATATAATTCGTATACAACAATATTATATTCTTTGCAGCAACATAGAAGGCACATTACATTTGTATTTACGTATAATAAGATAAGTTACAAACTACGGAGCATGAATAAAATTGTTCCCCATTAACAGAACCAGAAAGTTCATAGAAAACAGGATAATGTGTATGTATATAGAGAATAGTGGTACATGTATAAAATAGTTTAATCATTAATACTGCATATTCAAACATAAGCAACATCAGAAAAACGAAAAAAAGAAGGCATATGGAAAATTCTAAAAGAACACCAACCATTCATATACATTTGCAGATTTATCTATTATATTTATGTTGGTAATAATGTATATATGAAATGTGTGTATTCTTTAAACCGGGTTGGATGGAACCTCCAGGGAATAAAAGAGGCTACCATATATATATATATATATATATATATATATATATATATATATATAGCATTTGGCTTACAATGACTTATATAATAAAGGCAATATATGTGCATATTTCATAAAACATATATAGACAGAAAATGTGTATATATAAAAGAAATGATCAGAAATACAACAACTGGACTTAATACGTAAAGTGACAATGTTTTTCTTCCCAACTCTTAACGAAAACAAAATATGAGCAGCCAACTTACCTTATTTAGTGATAGGCAATACAATGAATATGTAACAATTAAAAACTGTCAAGTGTAGAAAACCATCAAAGCAAAAAGAGAATGAACATTTTGTAATCAAAATTGATTTTTCGAAAATAATACCTGTGAAACAATTCTAATCTGTTAGGAAAAACATTTCCCAGTCCAATGTAATAATACTAATAGTAACATCAGTGATATAAAAATTAAAAAAAAAAACTTTTAAAAAAGGCGCACAAATTGACGCTGATTCCATTTATCAACATCAGAATATCAATTATGGTCTTAACCGAATGGAAGATAATGATAATTACATAATAACCGGTAAAGTAGGTCATTCCTAATTGTTACACGATTATGAGATAGTATGATAAACGTAAGATCATATGAATTAAATACGTTAGAACAGACGAAAAACCAGACTGAAAACTACATATAATTTTCCAAACACAACTAGGAGATAATAAACATAGGACAGAAAGGAAATGTGAAATGATTTATAGAAAAGTATGATGTACGTATGTATATATATGGTCCGTTCATCATTAAAACCTAAAAAGAGCTTTGTTTCTTAAAAAAAATCAAAAAATATAGAAATCATTATGACAAAAACGAAAAGTGAGAAAATATGGCTTGTGGATTAAAATGCCGTAACAAAAACAAACAAGCGGAGGAAAAAGAAACTGTCTTACAACTTTGTGTCAAAGAAACTATAAAAATATATCGATGGTATTTTTAGTTGTAATTATTCGACCTTTTCAAGTGAAATGCTTTGACGATGATGTGTCTGGAAGTTCCGATTTTAATGGAGTAGTTTGATTAGAAGTTTGTTGTTGCTGTTGTTGTTGAGGCGGTGGTGGTTGTGCATGCGACGATGATGGTTGGAAAAGAAAAGGGAACCGATATAACTCAGCTTTTAAACTAGGATATGAACTTGCTAGCATTTCTACATGTAATCTTAATTGTTCACCTTCAGCTCTATACCGAGCTAGTGTATCCTCTAAATTTCTTACTTGAGCATCACGTTCAGCTACTTGATTTTCTAACGATCTGATAAGTGATATTTTACGTTCACGACAACGACGTGCAGCAACACGATTACGAGCACGCTTTCTCTCCAATTTCAAATGATGCTGTTCGAATTCATTTAAAGGAGAAACTGGAGTGTTATCTCTAACAGCATGACCAGTTCCTGTGCTAAGTGATTCTGAATGATCACTAGTATCATCCGCATCATCAATAGCCAAAGATTCAACTTTACCGCTAAAACACTTATTAGAATCTCCACGATATGCCTGTTGATTTGCAGTTGGATAATTCTCACTATTATAAACACTAGAAGGAATTTTAGCAGTCACATCTGAGCTTCCACGTCCCGTTAAGTTACGTGGTCGCTTTACACTGTTTTTACTTGGATCATTGAACATACCTTGGGTCGGTATTATGTCTGTACTACTATCGCAAACAACTGGTAATCCAGAATTAGTATTCAAAGCATTCATACGTGACTTTTTATTCCCTGCACCATGACGTCTAGATTTTTTGAGACAGTTTGAATTAGTGACTAATGATAATGGTTCAGCAGAAAAGGGATTTAAACAACTGGTTACTGCAGTAAATGAAGTCATATCAATTGTATCTGACTTAGAATTTGACAACTGCTGAAAATAATTATTTCTCTGATCAAGATCACCATTACTTTCATCGGATAAAAATGAAGGGATTGGTGTGAGATTAAACACAGAATTAACAGAACCTTGCTTTATATCAGTGCTCGGTATTCCAGGTGACCTCAAACTTTGTAACATATGAGCATCCAGAAAGGAATCACATACAGGATTAGTACATGAGATTAAATGACTGGTTGTTGTAAATCTATTGTTTGATTGGAGTAATAATGACTTATCAGAAAAGTGGTTACCAAGTGTACAATACATTTCCTCGAACTGTTGACTGCGTAAATTTCCATTGGTATGCTGAATAAATAAGAAAAAAATAAGTTTTCATGACAGTATACAGGCACAAAGTGGGAAAAATAACACCATACCGAAGTTACAGAAACTGATTATACAAATATATGTGTTCCAGTCAGTGAGAGATGTATGAAATTGTATGGATTTCAGTTAATTCAAGTTGCTGCACCCAGTACTAGTACAATGAAAGGAAAGGAACTTAATTAAAATCAAAGGAATGTTAGTAATAATCTCAACTGTGATGAAAAACTAGACAAATACTGCTGAAAAAAGATGAATCAGTTCAAAAAAGTAGGTACGTAATGAGTCTGAGGACATGATTTAGAGGAATGGTAAGGATGAATGTAACTGAGCTACTGAAACTGATTTTGTCATATTACCTAGTTACTAAACAATGATTACAATTATCTCTCAAACTCTAACCAAGAAGTCTATTAGTTTCGGCACGACTCAGTCAAGAGCTTTTTGTACCACCACCGATAACTCCTCAGGTCCTAGGTCACTAGGGCCGTTAAGATAAAGATTCGTAATGTGGTAAATGCATTTTTCATAATGAATGAACATTTTCAATTTATGGGAAGGAAAAAGTATCATAAATGTTCTTGGATTACAGCTCAGTGTTTCAATGCTTTTTTAATTGTTTACCGAATAGTTACGATTATCGCGCAGAATTTACGTGAGTTTAAGTTGTCTTTGTTCCTTGTAGTATTAAGAGATCATTATCAACAACTTCCGAAGACCAATTAGTTTAGTAGGATTCCAAAACCCACCAGACATCCTTAACCTTTTGGTTGAAGTTATTTGAAAATGTTACAGAAAACCGGAAATCGCAATGCCTAGTAAGACATCTAGCAAATGTACTCTTGTGACAGTTTGCGGTTGCAGTCTGCATATATTTCGGATGTCTCTCACTGGCTCTCCTCAATAATGACTATCAGCAAGATAGTTTATTTGTAATAATGTTGAATCAATATCAAAGGTTGTTATAATGTTTTTTATGCTTTAAGTTAGTGCTTGTTAGGAATAAATGGTTACTTCAGGATAGCTTCAGATGAAATGTTCCATTACCTGGTTTGCTGAGCCGGAACGATTAAGTTCCCACCAAAAATTTTTTGTTGGTTTAGTTTGTCCGCCACAACTACTACATCTGAGCACTAACCATTTTAGAGACTAAAAAGCTTTTGAAAGAAATTATCTATTAATTCATTCAGGATCCCTTCAGCACGTTGATAAGCAGGCTATGAACAAGTGCTGATATATACCACCATCTTTTCGAGTTTCATCCAATCGGACAACGTACAAATGACCGTTTGTTTAAACCCAGTCACGGAGCGCTTGGTTGACTTTTGAAATCAACAATAAGCACACATCTGTGAGATCATCACCAGGATATTTGGATCCTGATTTACACCGAGTGTTCACAACAAGTGTATCCTGTTCACCATTACCAAGCTTTCATACCAAGCACTGTATTTTGAAACATAACTACATTTCGCTTAAAAGTACGGATTATCAAAAATGAAGGTGAAAAGGTCAATGTGTTGATCAACATTAGGTGTTGACAGTAAAATATATCAGTCATAGTAACGAGATTACTGTGCACATATTTACATCGGACATGAATGAATATGAAGTCTGTCAAAACCGAATTATTCAAATCGAAATAATTTAACGAAACTATCAACATAGGTGATAAATGTTATCGAACCAATATACGAGAACAGTCGCAGTGAAGCTCACTAAATACAAATTCAATAGTAATGTCTAATTATCGTTTTACTAAGGTACTGAGTATGTGGTTTTAAAAGTGAATTACACTTTAATAGTGAGAAGCAACTTACAGACTCCGGTGGACGCGATAGACAGATATCATTTCTGTTTAACATGCTGTCGCTGTTATGAATACCTGAAGAGCCAGGTGACTGACTAGCGATCGAAGTTGGGTTCAAATGGTTATCTAAGAGGTGATTTGAATTATCTCGAGGTGTAGTCGACTGACAGCTAACAAAAATATGAGCAGGAGTCTTTTGTGTACTTTCATTACATGGATTACCATCAGTTGATGTTGACTCAGGAATTGATGATAAAACAGGAGTTAAAATTCTACACTCCCCGACATTAGGTAGAGTTGGATGAGCGGAAGAATATAGTTCATTGAGAGCATTTCTTATCCCAAAATCAGATGAATCGTTGGCACACAATCTTGAACTAGATGATGATGCTACCAAGTCATCACCAATACCTTCACTGCATGAACCATTCATCTGAACAGTATTGTGATTCTCTTGAATAGCATAATGAACAAGAATATCAGAAGCCTGTTGTTCAGGATTACACGGGGTTAAAATTGGTAATTTCTGTGATAATCTACAGTGAACTGGGTCGTTATTATCATTATTACATAAAATATTTTCAGTTGATGTCAAAACAGTTTCTGATATTCTATGAGATCCCATACTATCGTGCGGATAAACTGAATTTGTAAAGCGTGATTCTGAAGAAAGTGAGTCTAAATTTGAACAGAAATCTGTGGAACCGCATCTACGATCTGCAACAGCTTGTTTTAACCCATTGGCAATGGATGAAATAGTAGGTAGACTAGCTACCCAATGGATTTCTGTATTTGTCCTATGGATATTATTAGGATTTGAATTAGAAGTTGATAGGATATTGGAATAAAAATTTTCTTGGAATGGATTAGAGGTTGAGCTAAAGAGACATTTTAAGAAAATCATACATTGGAACTGAGTTACTACTTAACCAGACACAAATTGTAACTACAACCAAATAAGTCATATTTATTCTGAGATATTGTACTAAGGTGACAAACTATACGTGAAAGAACTTACTTCAGCCATATTTGTTCGACACCGTTTACAACCAATTATCAAATATGATTACTATGTACGATTATTTACTGTATTAAAATAAGGCTAATATTCAACTGCATTATAGTGAATGGAAATGATATTGTATACTCAATCCTGAAACTGATAAAGATTGAATATACGTAAGTAGTTTATTACTATTGAAAGAAAAACTCAATACACAATGGTATCATATCAAACAATATAAAATTATGGTAGATTTAGATAGGAAAAGAGACAGAAGCATTCACTAAAGATTTTAATTATTTTGCTTGGACGATTAATTCGGATGAAAAGAAATGAAAACAAAAATAAGAGCATAAGGCTAACATAAGCTGTGATCATTAACGGAGATGGGGCACGCACTACAACCTTATTCAAATAACTTTTATTCAGACATATGTCATAAATTGGTTGTTGTTGAGATTTTTCCTGTAGGATATTGAGTTGTAAAGTAATGTGTAGTATAAACACCGTTTTGATATATATATATATATATATATATATATATATATATATATATATATATATATATATATATATATATATCCAAGACAATGATACAATACTACATTATATGATGAACTCATAGGACAATATACTTCACTATGTGAACACGTCGTTGGGACCAAATTCCTTCCAAAATGATGGAGCAGTAGAGAATGAAAGCAAAGCACGATCAAGAATTCCCAACTTCATAGTTACATTTTACGTATGTTCACAGCTACGATTATTTGGTCGTGCTATGTCAAGTGTAATCTAATCAATCTGATTCAACTGGTAGTTATGGAGTTACAAACATACACGGAAGAGTCGATAAACTTCTATGACTCGTCATTGTTTTGACTTAAGAGACAGGCTCAGCAAGGTATACATATCGATTTCGACAACCAGTAAATAACTTTGACACTGAATTACATTTTATTAAAATAAAATTGGATAATATGTAAGTTTGATGTCGTTAACCAAGTTAGAAGCCTAACACACTTTTTCAGAACAATCTGTTGAATTCCGACGATAAGAGAGTTAAAAGGAGAAAGTAAAATTGAATAATACCGAATAAAAGCAATAGCGTTCCAAAATAACATTGGGTTGACATATATGCTTTACGGCTACTGAGGCATTCATGTAGTGGGGTTAGCAAGATGCTAGCAGACTTTTCTAATAATTTAGCATTCAGATAGTTTGGTAGGTCTATAGATCGACAAGCCTAAGTGTTTCGGCTCTTTTCTCAGACACCTGTGACAATGGTATCATTCTAGTGTATGACGTTATTATTCAGTAAATAACGTTATTATCAGTGTCAGTTGTGCAATAATATACATGAGTAGAATAACACTTAGAACAGGGTTTGGATTAGTGACTAAATTATTCTGTAAGATTCAATGTAAAACCCTATCAAGCGGTACATAACATTATTGTGTACCTAGTTGGCATTTCATGCCTTACAAAGAAGTATACTAACCAACAAATCACTATTCAACAAACACAGGCATAAAATAAATGTTATTTTGGTGGTTAAAACAGATACATTTTACCACTTAATCAATGAACACACAAAATTTGCTAGCGATCATTACAATTTGAGAAAATACTTTAATACATAACTCTTCTTTTTAAAAACCGCTTATTAAGACTGTTATTCAAAAACAAAACTGAAAATCTTTTCTATAATAACAACAATAGGCTACTAATGATGCCACTATGAACAGTTAAGTGACTAAATTATGGTAAACAGATTGTAACAAAAAAATCATTAGAACGACAATTTTCTGTATTGGTTATTTTTTTCTGGTTTCTTAAAAAGCAGCCAAATTCAATAAATGCACACAAACACATGTGACAATTTTTAAAAAATCCTCGTGATCGAAATCACTCTCAGAGTAAATGAGTTAAGTTAGCCAGCAGATTAAACATTGTTATCTTTTTTTCTTCAACTGTTTTCTAGAATTATTAATATTTTCTCTGTTTACTAACGATAATGTTAAGAACACGGATGAAACGCGATATAAACAGTAATCGTTTTCCGACACTAAACGGAATTCCTTTTCGAATAGTAAAGGTCTATGCGTGAGGCAATCAAGTGAGACAACGATGATTTATGGATAGAAATTAATCGAGATAAGGTAATTAGTTCTGAAAATTGCACCAGAAAAACTAAACCCAGCTCTATTTTTTTGAAGTAACATAAATAGAATAGACTGATAGCCTACGCCAACATTCACAAAAATCTAAACCAATAAGTAGCTATAATACCATAAACCTAACTGCGCACACTTTAGTAAGACATGCATCAGTACTTATGTCAATAATGCTGTTTTTCATATAAAATTCATACACAGATAAAGTGTAAGAACTGAATAAATAACGTGCTTTTCATCTTCATGTCATGAAACCCGTAACAATAAAAAACAGATGTTACTGCCTCTATTAAAACCCTCATACTGACGTTGACGGGTTAAAGTAAACATCTCGAGAGAATACCGCTTATAGCTAACAAAGTCAAAATCTCTCACATTAACTCGTATACGATTGCACAGATCTTGTATTAACCTGGTAAAGTTAATTTGCATTATTTCTAAAGTGAACCACTAATACAAACTATTCTCATTCAAGTTAAATGCTGTGGTTTGGTTGTGGAGTACACCGAAAGGGTGATGGGAAAAATACCACTAATTTTAGAAATTTTAAGGAAACATAGATTTTATCAATACAACTGGACTAACCTTGAAACCGACAGAGATTCACACTAGTTTTAGACAGACACTCAGCAAATACTTTCGCTTAGTGATTTAGAACTGTTATACTTGAAGATCGTTGACAGAGGCCTAAGATTGTTATAGTTGACATTTATTTCAAATTCGAACTATATTTATATTTTATTTGAACACATATATATTGGTACAGGAGTGCGCCGAATATATATGCGCATATATATTCAAATTTGAACTATAGTTGTATGAATGGTAAGTTGAAAATAGCAGATTTGTTAGTTTCCCTCTGCACTTTGGTCCCCGTACGAGGTTATCAGCAACTACTCCCCACCATCACACGCTCAAACAGATATTGGCTTTCATTTATTTTCGAAGCCATTTTTCGGGTTTTTAACTCTACTACATCATGAAATTTGGTAATTAAAACTAAGATTAACTCATTCAACAGGTATTCGAATATGAGTTACGCACAAACCGAACTAAGTGGAGGGGGTCTGAAATTGAGGTTTATTGGCTAGATGTTGAGTACCTAACTACAAACCACCGTTCTACTGCTACACCCACTGAAATTTGAACTTGGTTACTTAGTTACTGATTTCCAAAAGCGATAGTTAATACATTTGCAAGCAAATCAATTAATAAATGTTTTAGTTCGTATATATTTCTCGTCCGTCACTACCAGTTGGAGGGTAATTAAAGAATAACTGATCCCAAGCTGCTATTCTTTGTCTTATTTTACGACTGAAAAGTACGTGTGGTATTCATGAGTGAGGAAAATTGATACTATTGACTGACCAGGTCAGCCAGTATGCAGCAGATATCGTTCCATTAAATCCATAGTGCTACGATATTGTGAAAAAGTTTCCAATTATTATTACGCTTCAAGGACATAACAAATTTAGTCTCTAAAGTATCCAAATAATGAGAAGAGGCTCATGAACTTTGGCGCTTTTGTTGATTGGGAAACAGTTCTTTTAAAAAAACTCTAGTGTTTTAACATTAATGTGATTAGTGAAATGTGAAGGTTCACTGTCGAAAAGAAGAGATCAAGGACAAAGTGAGATGACATATCGACTTCATTTCCCTTTGGAATTCAGTGTTATTTAGATTGTGATCTTACATCAACATTGAGGAACGCTCGGATCATATTCAGTAAAGAGCACAAGTCATGTTTCTACATATTCCATAAAAAGCTGGATAACACAAAAAGCGACGAGATAGATATACACTCCCAACTTACGAACTGGATTTGGAACTTGCGATATGTTTTTGTATTGAATTTATACTGGATTGGGCTACCGTATGATTTTCATTGGACGTACCGCTTAGTAATACCAGTGGTTCATCGGTTAAATTTGGTGAATTTATTTTCATTGGGTCGGAAACGTGTACGGATGGATTGGTTTGATCGCCTTCTGACTTTATGGAATTTAAAGTTTCGGCACCGGTAGTGTAACTCTCCATAAAAGACATGGAAACATTTCGGTTTGATTGGACCTGCTTTTCAAAGGAAGAACTAGTTGATTCAGTAATAACACTATCGAAAGATGATGAATTTGGAATTATTGTCCATCCCTCTTGTTCAGCTTTAACTTTGTTCAAAGTTCGAGAAAAATTGCTAGAAGAATAAGTAAAATACATTAACCGGTAACTTTGAGCATTAATATACTAGCTGGATAAATGTAGTAATTTATGTCGTAAATGCTGGTATTGTTTGATTTGGCTCGATGATGTTTTGACATCATTTAAAAACTGAAAAGCAAATAATGAGACCTAAATTCATCTTGATAAACAAACTGTACATTACCAGAAAGTAGATGAAAGACAGAAAATAAAATTTAGTCGAGTGTTAAGCTGTGTATCAAAACCAAACCAGATTGTACATTTATCAACAACCTTGTGACCTATATCAAACGAATGAAATCTAAGACAGCGAAAGCAAGCCAGTAACTTAGAATAAGTCCTTGTATTTAGCTTTTAAACAGACTTGTTGTGTGGCAGAGGCGTTAAACCATTAACCAACAAGTTGTTTGCCTGAACCACAGTCCAGGTACTTCGGTCGGGGTAGCCCGGGAGTATTACTGTACCCTACTAAAAGTGTGGTTCATACAAATGTCCAGATGGTGAATGGATAACAGAAGTAATTAAGTATACTGACTAGCTAAAATAAACTAAAAGGCCTAAACCTTTCTATGAGTTCGACCAACGTTATATATATATACTCTTACACCACTTGAGGTGGATTTCTGTTAAGAATGTATTACGTATCTTAAGGAGCTTAAACAGTAGGAGTTCACAAACGTATCAGCTACTTTGCCTTATTTACTGAACACGATAAGCCTAACAATAAGGCCAAATTTTACGTATCAAGAGCGAACACATCGAAGTAGTTAATATATACCTGTTACGATAATACCGCTAGAATATGACAAATAATGAAACTAGTTATGATGAAATAAAAATTTACATAAAGAATATTTTACCATACTATTTTGGAATAATTTTCAAGAACTTACGTGGATAGTGCGACTAAATTGTTTGGAATAAAAACTAGTGTTTATTAAGCAGCAAATACTCTTTGTGAGTAATGGAGCACTACTTTCATAACAAACTGGGTTATTTAAAAATAAGGTTTAACTTTCTGATACACTGTGAATTAGCCATTTGGACACTTTTGTATAACTCCAAAACTTTGTAGGCCACAGAAATGCAATAATAGCTGACGAGATTTTAAAACATCTTCAAATAAAAATAAGCACTTTATGAAGTAACTGAAGATGGTTTAACTGAAACTTTAGTTTAGCTAGCCTATGATAATATTCTAACATATGTAAAGAATCATATCGATAACGAAAATGAAACAGTAATCGAAGTTCAGAAGTCTAACGAAAGAAATTCAATTTTCAAAATGTGGTCGGTAGTTAGTATAGATACACATACTAAAGTTGACTTCATTTGTACTAAAAATAAAAAGTTTAGCATTTAAAATAAAGTTTATTTGTGCAAAGTGAATAGACAGCTTATAATTATGTGGACTATATGATGTATGTAATCAGTTAACAAATACATTCAATTAGACCTTCATTAGAATGGAAGAAGGCAAATGAAATCGCAAGTCATACACACTAAGATGGTAATTCTGACTCTGAAACCAATAAATTACGTCAGACTTTATAGAAATGCTCATTATAGCACCAATTAAAATCAATGCAATAGGAAACTAATGACGTTTCGGTTTATCCATCCCTAGCTTCCTTTCAATCTACTCCGGCACTAGACATCACCAGTCGAGGTAAGCGGTCGTTGAAGATGCACAGTAACAGATGACCCAAACACCTCAGTTGATTCCCTACAACACTAATCGATCTGCCATCCTTACCTAGTACCTTATCTTTGCCTAACCACAGTAATGGTAAATCGGTAGTCAAAGGTCAACTGAGCATTTTTAGATCCGTGCCGAAATTTCGTGAGACACTAAAGCAACAGAGCTGATGAAACTTTTAAAGCAGGTGAAGTCTAACTAATCTTCTTAAAATTACTTTGCGTATAGAAGAAAACCATTCCTAAAGCAACGACTTCATTTAAAGGGAGAAAAACACATCCCAAACATGCTTACACGACTGCTCAAGATGATTAGAATACAGACTTTTGTCAGTCTTAGCTAAACAAGGGTTGTCATACACGTACTTTAAGTCAATAAGAGAATCTTGATGAGTTACTGAGCGTCATCTCTATGACAAAAGAGTGGACAACCCTGGTGAACATCATTTCAAGTCATCAATTACGATAACAGTTCGTCATAAACAGTGAGTCGACCAGTAGTGTTCGAATAGAGCTCGAAGAAGGTTGCCATTAAACTTATCAATCATCTGAGTCGAAGGGTGCCTTGAAGTCAAAAAATACAACTATAATCGGGTGCTGGTATGTCTATGTTCCGAAACCTGACGAAGGGTGGACAGTTGATTTAGATATTTACATCCAGATTAGAAACCAGTCCAGTTACGTGTCGGATAATTATTGAAGATAATATTTTAGACACTATTCCATTTGTGGTTATCAAAAGAGGATTTCTATCCTTTCTTATAAACGATAACAATCAGCGACGGATCAGTCATGTCGGATTACGTCCAGTCCCCAGACCCTAGCCAATATCTCAATCAACTAAATTGTTAAAATTGGAGGACCATTCTTAAAAACTCCCGAAGTTGATTAGTTCGGGTCTTCTTTCCTTTGCTTTAGATTAGTTATGACTTCCAAAATTACGTCTGAGCTTTGACTTTTGAAGGAAGACGGAACGCTAACTCATTTTTCCCTTTATCTGAATTGTAGTCGATCTGAGTTAGTAGACAGGGGAAAAGTGTGTCCATATCATTCCGTGTTTTTACTGTCTCGTTTGGTTGGACAAAGCACGAATGACTGTCTATTAGAATTCGGTCCAAGAAAGTGTGCTCGCCTTTTGAACTTAATACCACACCTACCCAATTAGGCTACGAGTAGAAGTCAGATGTTTATATACACTAGTAGTCAGTCGATCCGATTCTTTATATTGACTGAGGTCGGTAAATGATCAAGCTTGGAGTCTGTACGCGTATTTTGAAGACGCAGAATATGTCGATGGCACAAAACTCTAAAGCCTTAGTTAATGAAGCTTGTTATCTAGTTTGATATAAGATCTGAACATTGAAAACCATAAAACAAACTTCAAGAATGCCAGGAATAATTTTATAAGCTCAAATCGCCAACAAAGATGAGTAATGTGGAGGAGGCTGAAGATCAAAGATGAGGAATCCGAGTGAAAACAGAAGAAATATTAGGAAGTTAAAGAGGGATTTGTTTGTGAATAAGATTATCTTGAGTGCTGTTAGATGTGTTGTTTTCCCGGCCCAACCTTCCAGAACGTCAAACGATACCTTTTGAGGCATCCGAGAAAAAAACTAGATGAGTAGTGGTTTTAGTGACCTAAAAGTATGACTATGGAGACTAAGAGACAATTTCTTGGGGCCGTACACGCCCAGCTAGTTTTTGATATGCTAGCTGTGTATTTTAAAGGCCTTACTGTCAAAGACAGAAGTTTATGGGGCAAGGTGAGATGTGCTATTTTTAGGGCTGATTTCCCCTTACCCCTTCTTTCTTGTGGGGAGGCAGTATTGTTCCAAATGATGGCTATCTGGAGAAAGCATCTTGCTACCGTCACAACTCAGTGCAGTCAGCAATACAATTAAACTAAGTCACAATTGCCAAAAACGTGAAAAGTTGAATAAATTTTACAGCTATGACTGAACGATAGTCGATTACTTTACGTGGTGAATTTGACTTTTACCGTTATTCATTGTCTCTATGCCTCGAAAATAACTAAACTGGAAGGAATCTAGTTGTACTTCAACAAAGAAAATATAATTTCACGAATTAGGATGGAGCAACAAACTCAAAATCGGTCGTCCATGTTTCTGACAAGAGAAGCTAGTGACTAGAAACAGGAGGGGTGGGTTAAAATAACTCCCAAGATTACAAGCGCACTTACAGCCTATTTTGTCAAATGAATGTTTTACTACTACATAGTTTATATAGCCCGAACTAATTAACCTGTCCTCTAATTTATCATATTCCCTTACTATTCTTAACAAAAGGGTGACAGCTTGAGTCAACACACTCATACCACTTTCTGCTATGATTTACTCAGATACAAATAACTTCGGTAATATAAAAGAAATACTGACTTAATAATAACTACTGCAATCGAGAACTGTTGAGAGAGAAGTCCGCTTTAGGCTTATAGTTGCAAATTCATTAACAGCTGTTTCTGTAGGGTTGTACCCATAAGTTCAACAAACGAAATCTAGATGCTATTTTCGATATTAACACTACTGAATGAACAAAGCAAGAAAGTGAATTGGTGAGTTGCTACTCTGTGTGATACGAAATCACACAAAATACAAGTTATGGAATGTTATCAAATTATAAATAGACTATTCACTTTCACAATAAATGAGTTTGATTGAACTGCGAACACCTTAATTCCTCTAAGAATACATGACTAAGTAAAAACGGACTGAAACCAGCTTTAAAGGATTTCATTGACCTAGAGTTGAACACGTTAGTTATAATAGTAGACTTCTCACAGAAAGAACAATGCCATGTATGACATCAACGAGATATTGTTTCAAGCTACTTACTAGTAGTTCGATGAGAAAATGCTAATCTACGAATAGGTTTGCAAGTCAAATAACGACCATAAGAAACACATCTTAACAGGGATGACCTAACTGACGAGGAGATCGACGCTCAATAACTAGGTGTGAGTCACAGAGTAACGAGTAAATACACAAAGTCGAGTACATTGACGTGTAGTTGGTTACTGAGTTGCAAAAATCTTCTGAAGCAAATAACTAGCTTATTATGGAGTCTGAGACTAAAGAATTCTGATCGTATATCTAATTTTTCTATAATTATAACGAGATTTTCGCTTAATCAATGAACGTGACTAGCCAAGGGACTGTGGTCAAATTTTGCAACACAAAGAGAGCTACATTTAAAACGGTTGATCGCATAGAATTATCTTTAAAACTTTCTGTGACAAACATGCAACTTGTTATTTACTAAGCTCCCCAGATTTGTTACACAATGTGAATCATTTATTTTTAAGGGCCTTCAATTTAGTCAGTTTCACCACTAAACAGAGGTTTAGTGGTGATCGGCTACTTTAAATTGTCTTACTTTATTATTGTCTAGTATGGTACATTTCTAGACCCGTTGTTCTTTTTAATATACACAAAAGAAATACGTGAATGTTTTCCGAGACCACCCAGTTTATTGATGATGTAAATGTCTAGGGGGAGTCTATGATTGGGATAAACTAACTCTCGCAGAAGATATTCGATCTCTAAGCTGGCCAGACAATAGTGGATTGACTTCCAACCCTGATAGACAAAATGTAATTTATTTACGAAATGATCCAAGCTAAATAAACTAAGTAAGCCTTAGTTGTAAGGGTCGCTGGTAGAAAAATTTGGATCCCCTGACTCCTTACTATCTAAACAATACACGGTGACTCTGAGATGTGCTCTAGTCAATTTAATGGTACGAATGTCCATCCGGATTTTCAGTAACTACTCGACTTCGTTTGAAGTGTGGAAACGTTTTCTGTCACTTCAAAAGAATAGACGCACCTTGAAATGTACCCAAGACGAACCAAAGTTTGTAGCACCAAGTTTAGTCATTGATAAAAGGACAAATTCAGCTATTTATATCTATAAGAGTGTAGGACAATTAGGGGTGGTTTTATGACGGCTAGCAACAATATAAACACCTATCTTTTGTGACTTCAAAGAAGATATCTACAAGACGGAAGTCGAGCACAGCAGGTTGACTCTTTTTACTAGAAAGCAATAGGCCGAAAGAAAACAGCTTGTATGGAACGAAAAGTACACGATAAAATTGAGCTCAAAATTCGGAGAAAAATGAGAAACAGGTATGTTCTACTGTGATCAGATCGATCCACACGGTCTAAGATGCTAGGGTAATACTACGGTAGTCAGTACTAAACTTGCGTTCCTCTTTAATTGGTGACTGAAGAAAGGGTATGAATTACCGAGTAAGCTAAAGTGGGATGACGTTTGTTTCAGAAAATAATTACAAATACGGATATTCCTAGCCCAACATTAAATCATAACTTACTCTGCAAACAACTCCTGATCCTCTGTTATATTGTTTGGGTTTAAAAAACTAGTTGGGGTCACTGGTGTAGAACCATTGTTGCCAAGATGTCCTAGAAGCTTCTCAAACTCTGAGGTGTCTACAGCTCGGACCGTCCATGGCTGATAACAAACTTCTTGAGATACAACATTACGAAGCGACAAGGAACAGCTCTTGACATCTGTCAGATTTGAAGCGTTTGTTAAACACAGTCCTAAACTGGTTGGTCTACCAGGTGAATGCATTTCAGAAACATCCGCTCTCGCATATTGCGTAATCACATGCAAAGGACGAGTTGACTTCACAGTATCAGTGTTATTTTGAGCAAATGGTTCGTCACATTTGTTATCTGGCATTGGTAATCACGTGTCATTGAAGATCAGAAATACCCCTGATCGCCTCAGGACACAAAGGAAGCGCTTTGTGCGCACAAGGACAAGTCGTATGTACTCTGAAGCAAGCGATGAGTCAGCACCGATCTCGGCAGCCAATCACAAGAAGGATAACGCCTGATTTTAAAAACTTATTATCAATTCAAACAAATACACTCTGAAATAGGATTACTTTATAAGGAAATTGATTCTGAAAATTAGTCTTTGCTTAGAAATCATGTTGCTTTGTTTCCGTGCCGTTTTAAAGAATTTTGTGCTTGGACGGTCATGAATTGTGAGAGAATACAAAAACCGCTCGTTTCATACGCCTGTATCATGGTATATAAAGCCTTAGGTTACAACCTTATACTCAGCCTTGTATGAAGAGGATAAAAAGCCGCTATACTGATCACAGTTAGTTGCGTGATATCTAGTGATTTTTCCCTGGTTTCATCAAAAGTATTGTTCTCTGGAATTTCTCCGAATTGGTGACTGTATATGGAATTGCACACCATCTGATCTATTTTTTAGACTCCGGCTCTTGCACTACCCACAAATATACGTAAAGATTGTCATAGCTTCTTGGTTTGAAACGGTTTTCTAAGATTAATCCGTCATTTAAAATTACGAAGGTCAAATTTAGTCTGGTTTGGTGGCTTCGAGCTGGAGTTATTAACTTGACGGAAATTGAAGCCTGTATGGTGACTACTCTTGTTGGAAACGACACATTTTTCAATAACCACAGCAACAAATAGTGGGGAAATAAGGATGAACCAAAGAAGAAAAAAGCGGATGACAATAAAATAAAGGATAAGAATCAGTTAACCTCCTTGACATCGAGCACTTAGGGGAGATGTCCAATTTCCCCACTAACGCCGGGTTTTGGGGGAAAATTTGTAGACATAGGTACCCCAATTGAAAATACCACTGACGATACTTACATTTCCATAAATCTCTCAAAAATATCTTCTTGTTTGATAACATGAGGGGAAAATTATCATATACACATGTTTAAATATCTAGACAGAAACTTGCCTGAGATGTATGAAGATGACACAAGTATTTGGAGTTTGATAACACCTTAACCAGTAACACCTTTCATAATCGAAACTTGTCGAACCGGTGAAATCAGAAGTCAGAAGCGAAGAGGTTCTAAGATATATTCGATAAGCTATCAATATAACACGGTGTGACTGATTATTATTATAACTAATTACTTCGTTTGTCCTATAAGTTGAACATAAAAAAGTCAGTAAGTGTTTGTAGACGTAGAGCAACAGTGAATCTATCAAGCGTCCTTTGTTGTCATAGACCGACATATAACCGTAGGTTGAATAAAATGCGAGCAACAGTTACACAAAAAACATAACTTGCCTTTGTTAAGTCAACTTTCTGATGAAAGTACTACCAACGGCAATTGGATTCAGCAATGATTTGTGTCGCATTGATAGCAGGCGACACTGAAATCAAATGTAATGAGAATCTAACAACCGTTATGGCATCCGGTAGCCACAACAATGTGAAAGCAATGAATTCGTTAGTCTGTTTCTTGTTGGATGTGATGACGTTTATTTGTGTCCACAGAAGTCCGCAAACCATAAAAAAAGGATCAACATGGAATCAGTGAATCTGATAACAGCTGTCAGACCATCAGAGATGCTAATCGAATTGTGGATGCTTTTCGAAATCTTGTACCGGATTTACTAAGGAGCAATAGAAGTGTCCTGTGAACGTGCACAACTATTCAACCTCAATTCATCAGATGTGGTGTTTACTATCATCTCCGATTGAAAACCAATCTGCTAAGATATACTGAACTTTGGTTGTGTACTTTTAATTGTGATACGTTGAACTTGTATTACACAAGATGACCCGAAAGAACTTGATTTCATTTTGCAGACACGAAGAAAGTCTACAGCTCTGATAAAGAAGAGTAGGAATACGAAACCCGCAATATCAAATAAAGAAAATAAGTAGAATTCAACCCAAAGTCTCTATAACTCTCTATGAAACAGTGAACAGATTCTCCGCACTGATATCATGTAACTTACCCTCAATACCTCCAAGTAGTAAACCTGCTGGTAGGCGCAATATTAACCAACCTTCTAACACAAACTAACGAAAATTATCAGAGTACTGATCACCCCACTCACCCACAAAAGTCTATAACTATTATTAAGTGTGGGAGTAGTAAGTTTCTTGCCCCACACCCTATCCCTGTTCCCCAGGACCACAAACATAATTACCCTGTGAAAGAAAACTTTTCACATCCCTCATTACCAACCCACCGCATAAAAATGGCTCCCATGAACAAAAAGTCATAACTAGTTACAGTTACATACAGCAGATCCCTCCCAAGCTCACACTAATGCGAATAGATACAATCCAAGCTGCGAGCCAATTTATCAAGACTATTTTGTAAATAACAGTAGACTTCACAGTAAGCCTGTACAAGAGTTTTTAGAATACGGACCCTGGTGGCACCTATATCGCAGCATCTTCCCAATGTCATTCCACACCACATGCGAGATGTGAACCTGCTTCTCCCGTGCAGCTTCGACTAGAGAGTATTCCCATCCCTCCCCTCTGATTAAACTATCCACATAAATTCGCTAGCACATTCAATATATCCCCCCTAATCCATGTCATCAACAAAATGAAAAGTAAACATTACATCGCTTTAAGATCATCGCTATTACTCCCTCTCAGTTGCAAAAGCTCCAATCAACTAATCACTGGCTCATTCTACCATACCACGCATATTCCTGTGGATCTTAGGAATGAAGCATCTCTATCCCCTCCAACGACTACCACATCCCTTAACCGCTGACTAGTTATAATGAATCATCCGCAAATCTCAGTTGCGTGAACATTGAATGAAATAATTTTTCATTCATTAGGTTGGTTGGGGATTTATCCTATTTCATTATCCGCTAACAGCTTTTCACTGTTTTACTTGATTCACGCTTTCTCAGCAATAAGACGGCTTATCTTATGTCTCTAGCCTACTTGATCAATCTATGCTGTATTCTGATATCTTAAACCTGGAGCATTCCTGATATTTCTGATTTAACACTGTAGATGGTTTTAAAATGCACCGCAAAATCGGGATTCATAAGATGGGGGTTGTATAAGCTATGTACAGTCTGATATTCTGTCAACTATAATCTTCCCAGAGGGTTGTGAACTGTTTGATGACGCTATATTCATATACCATATTCATATACCACCAAATGCCGCTCGCGCAATGGATACAGATTTGAACCAAGTATTCACATACTTATCATCATTACACGTTGTTAATTTAATGAGTGGGGATTTCAATATGCCGTCTGCTAGTTGGAATTCATTACGTGGTCAGTCTTACTTTGGAAAATTCATCAAAGTACTAGGAACAAACTGCTTGACACAGATAGTCAACAAGGCTACCAGAAATGCTAGCCTATTAGACTTAATTTTCATACACATTGCCTCTATATATTAAATACACTAGTCCTGAATTTCCAGGCAGTGCTCACAATGTTGTAGACTGGCAACTCATTGTATGGAAGTGCTCTTGTACTTCTAATGGAACAAAAGTTCTCAAATATTCCATCTGTAGCTTTGCAAACACCAACTGGTCCTACTCCTTAATTCTTCTACGTGGTCTTGGTTGGGATGAGTTTTCTTCTTCTGATGACGTGAACACTTCACTAGATTTTCTTTATTTTAATCTCAGGACCTGTCTGAACTTAATCGCTCCAAGTACTACAAAACAACCATACGTCCCTTATTGTGATTATATTACCATTGAATTCAGATATAAAGTGAGTTGCGGAAAAGGTTCATTGTTCAACGTAACTTTTCAGCTATTTCCAACATTCAACCGGTTTTTAGCAATATCAAAAGCTTTCGACAAACAAAAGAATTAGAAGCTGAACGATAGTGTTCCAATTTACGAACTAACAATAGCTTTTTATTTGCTACTTTAGAGAAGAAACTCTGTACTCACTCTAATATTCCTACTGTCCTAAAAGTCAATTATGCTCTAACAAGAGACCTAGGAAAACTGTGTGGGCTGCTTAACAATAAATTTGCTCGGGCATTCACTGAATGTAGTCAGAATGAACGCATATCCAGCAGTTTTTACTTATGTACATTGGCAATAAGGTCATTAAAACCTTCTCTAGGAAGTGGCTATTATGAAATGCCGGCTAATTGAGTAAAGTATGGGGATCTGACATTCACGTCCTGCTTACCAGAATATTCAACCTGTCCTTTAATCCAGGCATTTTTTCCTTGTCAGTGGAAAACTACATACATCATCCCTTACTTTGAAAATAGGTCCAGACTAGGTATAGACAATTATCACCCTATTAAGCACACTTCCGTCTTATCTAGAACTATGGAGAAGATTATTGAGAAAGCATCTGGCAACCATCTTGATAAGCATCAATTGATTGTATCTTCACAATATGGGTTTATTTCCAAAACATCATGCATAACCTGTTACCTAGAACACTGCAAAATGAAGAGTGGGAGTGGAAGGAAACTGGTTGTGACTCTTTACTTTGATTTCACCAAAGGATTCGAGAAAGCGCAAAACTCTTCTCTCTTAATTAAACTAAAGACTTTAAGTATAGGTGGTAAAATACATAAATGGATCACATCCATCCTAAAAGATCGAACCCAAGAAGTGAAAATAGGGCAAAGCTTCTCCGATCCTAAGAACATTACCAGTAGTATCTTCCAGGGATAAGGCTTGTCCCTCTGTTTATCATCATGTATTTTAGTGAAATATGCTGTTATATTACGATATGAATAATGAATGGTAATTTTGGGGATTCATTTTTGGACCAATACTATGAGTATATTTTTATCGTATAATTGTTTTGTAACTAAACTGTTCATATGCATGTTTCTCTTTTTATGAGCTTTATTTTGACCTATGGAGTATTACTATACGATTTGCCATTCTTGAATTATGCCCTGTCTATTTATTACTATCTCCCTCACTCACAGCCACATTTAGCTAATTCTTGTACAAATGTTGTTTCATAATTTACGGTACGTTGTGGTCTGTCTGGTTGTTATATAAACCCAGTATGCTTGAAATAAATGATTCACAT